CAGCACTCATCAATGAGCTGAGGCACTGGGAAGTCCTCAACAATCCAGCCCAGCCTAGGTGTGTGAGAGGAAGTGACGACGCTGCCGGCTAGGACTTGCAAGGAATTCAGGTGAGCATCAGCGTGCGTAGCCCTGCTCAAATCGAGCCATCCGTGCACGCATCGAGTCCAACTGATTCTGAAACGACTCACGAAGGGGTGAGTGGTTCAGAATTGTAGAAGATTTACATTTCACTGCCGCGGAGCAGGCCTTCCTACCCGGATCGCCAGAAGCTCCGGGATTCTTTGTCTGAACATTAACCCGTCTCTCTAAGACATAGCAAGTTATTACTAGGCGGGAAACTGATGGCTTCCAAACATAGAGGGGCCCCAATGTAGACCCAAAAATTACGAAAGCCCTTATCTAAGGTAGGTTGGGGACGGCGATGTAAGAAGTATATAGGAATGACGCGTAACAAAAATTACAAAAATCATGTTCAAACCTGCCCCTGTTATCTGGATTCTCTCTGTTTGTGCCCTGGTAGTCAGTCCGCGGTCCGGAGAAGTTCAAACTCTGCTTCCCTGCTGGCTTGTGCTTGTGCCCTTCAAGGCAGGACTCTGAGTGTAGTAGCAACGGTCCTAACCATAACCATGGTAACAATGATTCTCAAAGAGTACCCTGACAACAGTCAAAATCATGACCATAATAACAATAATCCTTAGAAGGTAAGATGACATGATGGGGGCTACTATTACTATTATTGTTACTTTTATTATTGCTACTATTACTGTTATTATTAGGCAATGCTAGGCAGGACTCCCTCCACTCGCCGAGCTTGTTTTATCTGAGGTACAGGCAGCAGTGATTCGTCAGCATGCAGCAAGACCTGCCCCGTGAACCAGCACAAACATCTTTCAACGCTCCCGAGCATGGTGGAGTCCGCCCTGTCTTGTACATCCGCACATTCATCAGTATCACTTAGACCCCGGAATACTATGATCCTTATTATGGAATATTCTGGGGATCCTCCCAAAAGGGTACCTCTAATTTTGGGAAATTCGTCGCCCACCAGTCCTGACCAACCGGGCCAAAGACTGCACGAAGAATACAGTGGTTCATTTGGGGGGTTTCCCAAAATTAGGGGTACCATTTTTGGGGGCCTCTATAATTTGGATTATCGCATTTGGGGGTCTATATTAAAGTTCCTCGAATTTGGCGAAGCTACCACCTTAGCGGAGAAGACGCATAACGATCGGCATGAACAGCACAGTATGTCGATGACATAGCAAAAAGCTTACTTAAACGCACCTACGTGTGGTAAAGCCAGAGAAGAGTGTGCTCTTCAGGTACCTAGAAGCAAGTCCCTAAACCCCAAACCCTGAACTCTACCATTTTCTACCCTAGTGTACACAGGCCAACTTCAGCGTGCAACACAAGGGTTGTGCTGATCCAATGCAGTGCCTGATCAAGAAACTGCACCAAAGGAACTCGCGAAGTATCCTGCCATGCAAGGGATTTGCCATCTGAGCATTTCTCCATATTTCTCCAATACAGCGCCAAGGTACATGTTTAGGGAGATGTCATGATTTAGGGCCTCATTCTATCTCCTTCACATGACCCAAGCTGTTTCAGCAAAGCTCGGCGTGCTTAATCCTGACGGTGCTGATCAAGGGCCTCAAGGGTAGTCCATATGTCAGCTTCTGAGATTAGTTTTTGTAGAATCCAAAGGGACCGCCATAATCCCTCTCCAGATCTTGCATGCCCTCAAGGACCCCCGAGAGTCCCCGCATTGCGTATAGGCCATTTCACAATTGTTCTGGAACCATGTGGAGTTTCAGACTCCAATAGCTTGTTATCATAGATAATGGCAACGGTGACAAAAGTTTCTCATGATTCTCCAGATTGCGATTCAGCAGCATGGAAGCTGGTGAGCCCCCCAAACCTTAAGCCAAACCAATTTATCACCCTAAGCCCTAAACTGGAGTCCCTATCATAGGTGCCAGGACCGCCAGAACTGGAACTACGATGGTGAGGCACAGTTTCAGGCGGTGAGCTTCACAAAGGTTAGGCGGTTAGGCAGTTTAATGGAGGGTTTGTGATCTAGGGTCAATATACCTGCGTGGGTATAGCATTACGAGTGGGCGTAACCGCTCTGCAAGACCTGAAGACCTGTGCGGCACCTTGAAAGGCAGAGAGGTAGGGTATGATTATGGTCATCGGCAGCCGTATCCTATAACTATGCGCGCTTTTAATTCCATAATCCTTTTAACTCTTTTAACCCCTAAACCCCATAATCCCTGTCAACTGAAGGCTCTAATCCCTAAGCCCTAAGCCCTAGGAAGCAGGCGGCCGAAGGATGCCTCCAACTTGACCACAAAGTCTACGTCTGGTCTTGAGTGCCAAAGCCACACCTGAAGGGAAATTTCTACAGGAGACACCTACCTGTACCCCCAACAAAGTGTGCAGAATATTGGCCTTGATGACTACTATTCTTAGGATTTTAGGGCTGTCATTTTGCCTACTTTTGAGGTCTAGGTTGCTGTGGTTCCGGAATGAAAAAAATGTGCTAAAGGGGTTGTCCTCATACTAGGAGGGGACCCTTGCCAAGAATAAGATATCCAAGCAGCCATTGCCATTTTAAAAGTCCGCTTTTTTGGGCTTCCTCAGGAGGATCTTCGACAAGACTTGTGGACTAGCAGATCCTAGCAGGTTCCACAAACATGGCCCTGCAATTTGGATCTTCACCAAAGCCACCGGGGCATCAAAGCTGTAAACCTAAGCCCGGGCAGCGTGTTTCAACTTAAGTTTCTGAGGGTGAGCAGCTCCAAAGAGACTTATCCGGATTCCGTATCCTTTTGCATGCAAATTCATTCTCAGGGACTGTTCCTTGCAAGAAGGTGCGAGCTGCAATGGTTGTTCGGAAACAGGGAAACAGGACAACATCAGCATCAGCAAGGATGGCAATAGCAGTGGCAATGGCGTGACGGTAGCAAGGATGAACGAGGCTGGTAAGGCAAAATCTGCGTTAGCCCAAACACACAGGTACTACCATATTATCATGTCAACAGTGGTGGCCAAGGAAAGTAACTATAGGTAGTCAATCACGGCACAACAACAATGCTCAAAATACCGGGCTCCGCTCAAGAGGCCTGCAACAAAGATGCCTATGCGAGGGTACTGTTCCAGACCAGCGTCCCACGGCGTGCCCTAAAACACTCGTTGCCGTACTACACAGGGCATTCCTAAAAGATCTGTTACTTTGAGAGAAGGTCCTCAACCCTCACAGGGATCATCCTAAGAATCCCCCATTGCCGTACTGGTGCTTAAGGGAGTTGGGGAGTGGATCCTTATAGTCCCTACATCCACTCCCTAGACCCTGAACACTAGACCCTCCAGGCCCCCCTTAAACACCAGCATGTTGCTTCACTAACTGGGCTGCTGGACCAGGGCGCCAGCAATGCGCAGGAGAACCGGAGAAGGCCTCAGCAGAAGAGCCTTAATCTCTCTACTCCCTACAAGGGAATATAAAAAGATATCCATTGGGATAATGGGAAAAATGAACTACTACTCAAGTTTAGGGTTAAATCATGGAAGAGAAAATGGAAAGTGCTACATAATTTTTTTGCACACCCATTTTAACCCGTGGCACAGGTGAAGACCATTCATGGTCGGGTAAGAGCAACATCTGCTTACACATCACGTCGGCGTTCCTTGAAAACCTTCAGAACGTCAGGGCCCAAATCTCGCTACATAGGGGCTTAGGGTTCAGGCTTTCATTGAAGACGGTTGATGTATTTGGGCCTGGGAACTCAGATGTAAAGCCTGAGCCAAGCTACAGGTGAACTACAGGGATGATAGAGCAGCATGTGAGCCAGAATCTAAACCCCTTAAAGGGGGTCATGTAGGGGATTATATAGGGGAGTATCATAGGGGTTATAAAGGGGGATGCTAGGAGTTCAGACTATAGCTCATGTGAAGAAAGGGGTCCAATGTTGAGGCTTCTTTGGCTGACTGAGACCACACAAAATGGAGGTCTTTCACACTGCACATCCGCAAGCAAAACAAACATATCCAATTTGGCCCCATGCTTCTGCCACTAGAGAGGGTAAGGGGGTATACACAGAGCCTCCAAGAAGGACACCTTAGCTTGGCCTTTCAAATTCCACCCAACCAATTATACCCTATATAACCCAGTATAGTATAGTTTCCATTTTCTTTCCATTATCCCAATATAACCCCAACATACTATGTAGTAGTTTCTATTTTCTTCTCCATTCTCGCAATATAACCACAATATTATCACTCCCAATCTTACAACCCCAAGGGTAGCATGAAAAGCGCAGGCTTTAGTCTGAGCAAAGGATGCGCAGTCTGCTAGGAGTCAGGAGTCCCAACGAGTCCTAGACCCGTCCCAACCCCTGATTCCCAACATCAAAAGGGTTAGTATAGGGGTGTATAAGGGGTTCATAGAGATTTGTAGGGTTTAGGGTTTCCCAAAATTACGGGTACCTTTTTGGGGGTCCTATTTCAAGGAGTTTAGCCCTACTAAAGCTTATCTAGATTTCTTTGCATCTCAGGCTTGAGCTCTTCCAGAACCTGGGGACCCAGGCTCGTTGCGGCCATAGCCTGGCATGGGGAGGGGGAGGACTTGATGCACAAAACCCCCAAGTCGGGGAATAGCATGCCAGGTTCTAGCTATGAAAGGCACGTATGGTCCACGTACAGTAGAGGAGACCTTTCAGACTTCATCATCATTCAGCAAAAAGAACATGGGCCAGCTCAAGCCACTTTGTCACAGTTCTGAAGCCTGCGACTCTTACATGAGCTATAATCAAAACGCCTAGCATCCCCCATAAAACCAGCCCTTCAGGAGTTTAGGCTACAGTTCACATGTTGATGTTGAAAAGGGACAGATGACAGTATTGCGCGGCCCGCATACTGTAGTTGCCTCAGCAGACCCCCCAACCACAGTGGTCCGGACTTAAACTCTAAACAGTCCCTGGGCCATCAACCTTTTCTCCTCAAGGCGCATCCCCCTTGCGCCGGCGTTTCGCCCTCAGACACTCCAGCGCCGAGGCAGTGAAGTCTGCAATGGGCGCGGGTAACTCCTGCGGGGTTTGGGGTATTTTGGGGCTTAGGTTTGCGGACGCAGGGATTTAGGGCTAGAGGCTCTAAATTTTGGGGCTAAGAATTTGGGGTTGGAGATTTAGGAATGAACTGGCTGCGGGATTTGGTGCTCCGAGCTTGGAAGATGTAGGCTTTTAGTCCAAGGGTTCAGGTTTAAGAACGTAGGGCTGAGGCGCGAAGCCATAATGACCCAAAGAATGCTGGATTCCTTTCGGCAACGACCGGTCCTAAGATATGTTGAAGGTACCTCATTTTTTAAACTTTCGTCTCCTACTAAGGGGCAAGAAGCAGATTCAACCAATGTTGCGGACGATGTGCGTGCTTTGAAGAACACCAGGTTCATCCTTGAAAAGGGTCCCAAAGCTGCTTTTTGATTCTATGACCCTTATGATTCTATGACCCAATGTTGACAAGTAGCTCACATTGACGGTCCCTGCAGTTGGGCTATTTTCCTTGGGGTAGCTTCTTTTGGATAGCTTATGCTAGGATGGCTATAGGACTCTCAGGCCGTGGCCTCCAGGTCAAAGAAAGCCAGCTCATCATGCTTTGCCTGCTGACAGAAAAGGCTTCCGCCTCTGAGCTGCGAATTATGAAAGCTTCACGTCATAACGAAATCAGCGAGCAGGGTTTTTCAGCAGTAAGGCAGTCAAATCCAAACTCCACATTTCAAGTCCGATCGCCAAAAATTGTCAGGGCCGGGGGTCTGGCGGGCTCGCGGTTCACCGCCGACTCCGCCAGGCAGCCCGGCGCGAGCTGCGCAACGTAGCCTGTCCACTGACAGAGCGCGGAACGTTTGCAACATCCGGCTATCAAGGCAACCCAGCAGGCTGCATGGGAAAGGATGCATGGTCAGCTTTCAGCTTGAAGTTTTCGACGCTGCCTGATTTTAATTTTCCAACGGGCGCAAAGCGCATGTGACAGAGGCATAGCTTGAGAGCATTCCGGCGATTCTGGCGTTCTCAACTCTAGCGGCGCCTTTCCCAGTAGCGAACCACAGTGGCAACAGTTTGTGACCAAACATGAACTTCCTTGCCTATAGAGATCCAATGGCTGGAAGAAGAGATCTGTGACGACACCTTGGAGGCAAGACGCACCACATATCTTGAAGCAGTTTATGCTGCCTCTTGCACAAGTACGATCATTCGTGTAGTGCTTGCAGCTAGCCTTTAAGTTGTAGCTAGCAGGGGAACTGTTGACCCGTAACAGCCGGAGCTGCTAAGATGCTCAGGTGCCTGCATCAAGGAGCTGCGGGTCGACTATCTCCAGGCCCGTCTCTTCCCTGACTCACGTTGACTGGCTGCAGGTAGTGTGACCGGCAGCTTGAGGAAATTAGTTCGTGATTTGGCAACATTGGTCGAAGGACTCGCTGAAATTGAGTAGGGATTTGGCAATCTGTGGCTGGGGGTAGGGATTGCAGATTGCTGGCAGAGACTTGATTTGAAGAGCTGGCTATGGATTGAAGACAATTTATTGAGGCTCCACGAAGAGTTTGGCTACCAAAGGTTTGCAAGACCTGCAAGGAAAGCCCAATTATCAACTCCTAGAGAATGTTCCTGTGATTCAGGCGCCTAAACAGCACCCCTCTACAACCCACAGAGCCCTTGCTATTCTCCTTACAATCCCCAAATCAAAGCACCACCGTTTTGGGGAAATGCCCAATGAGTACCCTTGCGGTCCTTTTGGAGCCCTTTCAGAAAACTTCCACAAGATCCTACTGCAGAAGGACCCTACGCGATAAACTTTGCCAGGGCCGTGCGTACGAATTCTTTACAAGAGCATCCTGCATGAGGAGCCCACGGTGCAGGTAGTTCCAAAAGTCAAGGTTGAACTTTTTGAGCCACCCAAAAATCTGGTGCCGTATAGTAACCCAGGGCCCACAAAGGGCGCTTTCTCAATATGGGCTGCCCTGAGGGACTCAGGGATACATAGGGAGCAACCGGGCGGAGAACAACCCACAGGGGGGTCCTTTGGGGAATCCTTTTACTTGAGTCGATCATATCGTCGGGTATATCAGAAGGCCCGTCCTTTTTGGAAACCTGAACACCACGTATCCCTGCATATCCTTGTGTGTACACATGCACATATATATATATAAGAATAGGTATGTACCTTAAACGGACCCAAAACTCTTGGAAACTATTACGCGGACATCCCTAAAAAAGAGTGCGTATCTCATCCCAAATGCGGATGCCAATAACCCTCTTATAACCTCTGAATATCCTTGGGGTCCCAACGAGCACCCCCATTTTGAGAAACCCTAAACCCTAAACCGGAAAATCGTAGTTTCCACTTTCTTTTGCATTATCCCAGTACATCCCTAATATTACCACATATTACCCCTATATATCGCCCATATGAGCTGTAGTCTAAACTCCTAGTATCCCCCTTAATAACCCCCAATAGTAGTCCC